CGTCACCCAGGACGCCTTGAAATGGCTAGACGGACATGCCCCGGAAGGAACCTTGAACGCGCGAACCTACGCCCAGAACCAGTTTCCTGAGGGGGACCCCCAATGAGACCCCAATGACGACAGGGGACTTCAGATGCTAGCCTGATACCAGGAGGCTCTCCTAGGTGGTCTGAAGGAAGGCGGGAAGAAGGTCATGGGTATGAGCAAGACTTCAGAGGTCTTCCAAGGACCAGAAGAGACTCCAAGCCAATTCTGTGAGGCATTCTGCCTCGATACCTCCTTTGACCCAGACTGACTGACAGAGGATGGTCCATGCGGCATTTGTCGGGCAGGCCTAGGGTGACATTCGGCACGAACTGCAAAAACTGGAAGGCTTTGCTGGCATGAACATCAGCCAGCTCCTTGAAGTCGCGACCAAGATCTTCGTCCATTGCGACCAAGAGGCCCGCCGAGAGGCTGACCGAAAGATGAAGAAGTTAGTTGACCTACTTGCAGCTGCTCTGGTAGAGTGGTCCGGGCCCCCTAGAAGAAGTGCCTCACAAAGGTGGGGACAGAACCAGTGGGGAGGTCAGTCGGGGGAACCTCCCGCCATGAAAACGAGACTGGGACAAGAGCAATGTGCATGTTGCCGCCAATGGGGCCCCTGGAAGAATGAGTGTCCCCGGTGACCGGCTGGGCCGTCAGCAGCTCCTGGCCCCTGAAGACACGACCAAGTGGTGCAAGGGCACTGTCACCCAGCTCGCCTGTCACCAGGGATGACCTTGTTGGCCTTGCTGCCCTGGAAGGGTTCGGGGATGACTAGGCCAGACCGGGCTCCCTTCTGCTGGGCCTCCAGGAGCCTATAGTCCAAATGAGAGTTGGGGGCCGACCTGTTGACTTTATGGTTGACACTGGGGCTGAACACTCATTTGTGACTAGGCCTGTAGGCCCCTTTTCTCAAAGACAAGCTGCCATTATGGAGCCCCCAGGGGACGAGTCCGTCGCCCCTTCCTGCAGCCCCGCCGGTGCTACCTAGGAGGACGAGAAGTCATCCACGAATTCCTATGTCTGCCCAGCTGCCCCGTGGCACTGATGGGACAAGACCTCCAGGCTCAGATTACCTTTGACTCACATGGCCAAGCAGCCCTAACCTTGGGGACGCCAGAAGCAAGGATCAGGTCGCTCGTGGTTCCCCAAGGAGAAGAGTGGAGGCTCTATAGTCTCATAGGAGCGTCCCAAGAGGGACCCGAGCTCCCCTTCAAAGTGCCCGGAGTGTGGGCTGAAGACAGCACTCCAGGACCGGCCCGACGCGTTCCTCCAGTGGTGGTGGAGTACAACCAGGAGCTGAGCCAGCCCGCCGGAAACAGTGTCCCATCCCCCATAAGGCACAAATGGGGCTCCGAAAACATTTAGAGACTTCTGAAGTATGGAATTCTCTGTCCCTGCCAATCATCCTGGAATATGCCTTTCCTGCTTGTTCAGAAGCCAGGGACCGATGACTACCGGCCAGTCCAAGACTTACAGGCAGTGAGCCAGGCGACTATCACCCTGCACCTTGCGTCCCCAACCCATATACCCCCCTAGGCCTAATCCCCACTGAGGCAGCCTATTTCACCTGTCTGGACCTCAAAGATGCCTTCTGCATCTGCCTGGCTCCTCAGAGTCAGCCAATCTTTGCCTTCCAATGAGAAAACCCTGAAAGCTGCCAGTTGACATGGACACAGCTGCCTCAGGGGTTCAAGAACTCCCCGGCCGTCTATGGGACAGCTCTAGCCTCGGATTTGAAGGCCTTCCCGGCAGACCTACACAGCTGTACGTCACTCCAGTACGTAGATGACCTCCTCTTAGGAGGAAAGGCCTGTGAGGAATGCATGGAAGGAACGCATCTACTTCTCAGGCTCCTCTGGGAAGCGAGTTACAAGGTCTCTAAAAGGAAGGCTCAAATCTGCCAAGAAAGAGTCAAATACCTTGGCTTCCACTTATCACAGGGATGATGCCAACTCGGCCCAGAAAGGAAACAAACGGTCTCCTCAGTTCCCTTCCCTGGCGACAAGTTGCAAGTTCCTCGGAGTGGCTGGCTTCTGCAGAATCTGGATTCCTAATTTCTCCATCCTGGCCAAACCCCTCTATGAAGCTACAAAGCGGGGGCAATGGGAGCCCCCTCCTCTGGGAATCTACACAACAGAAGGCCTTTGAAGAAATCACACAGGCGCTCACAACACCCCCGACTAGGACTCCCAGACTTGACCAAATCTTTCTGTACGTACACGAGCACATGGGCATCGCAGTGGGCGTCTTAACCCAACTGCTAGGACCTTGGCACCGTCTCGTGCCTTATCTCTCCAGACAGCTTGACTGTCGCCCAGGGCCGGCCACCTATCTGCAAGCACTCGCAGCAGCCGCTCTCCTTGTGTCAGAAGCAGACAAGTTGAGTCTAGGATGAGAGGCGACAGTCCGGGTCCCCCATTCTGTCCTGGCCTTATTAAAATATAAAGGACGCTATGAGCTCACCAATGCCTGGATGGCCAAATACCAAGGAATGCTGTGTGAGAACCCACGTATCTGCCTCGAAGTAGTGTGGACCCTAAATCCAGCCACCTTACTGCCGGTGGGACAGATGATAACCAGACCTACCTGACCAGCCCCTCAAAAGCCCTGATGACATGTAAGACAGCAACAGCTTCGTCAGGAAATGAGCGTCTCGCGGGGTGCGCGGTAGTAACCTTGCATTCTACTATTGATGCAAAGCCTTGGCCTCAGGGAACCTCAGCACAGAAGGCAGAGCTCATCGCCTGGACCCGCAGCCTTCCGCTGGCAGCAGGAGAGTGTGCAAACATGTGCCCTGACTCTACGCCTTCACCACCTGCCATGTACATGGAGCCCTGTACAAAGAGAAGGGTCTAATCAATTCAGGGGGAAAAGACATAAAACATAGAAAGGAAATTGTAGAACTCTTAGATGCTGTGTGGGCTCCCAAGAAAGGAGCAGTCATGCACTGCAGAGGACACCAAAAAAGGGGACCCCATAACAGCCCAGGGCAACCGCAGGGCAGATCATGTTGCCAAACTGGCAACGGCCGGGGAGATGTCCAGCCCTACGGCTTTCACTGCTCCCCTGTTTCCAAGTCCCTCAGCCGAATGGGACCCCAAGTACTCGCCTCAAGGAGAAACCTGGTTTAAGACCGAAGAGGGGAACCTCCTCCCCGCTGGATGGGGGAAGTTCAAGGACAGGCGAATTGCAGTCCCTGGGACCCCAGCCCCAGCTTTCATCAAACAGTTTCACCAAAGGAGTCACCTTGGTCGCAGTGCCCTAGAATCCACTCTGGGCTGGTATTTCTATGTCCCCTGGCTCTGTAGCATCTCACGAGCGGTGTGTGAACGGTGCCAAGTCTGTGCCCACAACAGCCCCGGGCAAGGGCCGTGTGCCCCACCGGGGGTCCAGAGTGTCGGTGGCACCCCCTCTGAGGAGCTCGAAGTAGACCACTGAAACGCCTCGATCACGGGGCCTCCGGGATCTCTTGGTCTTTGTATGCACCTATTCCGGTCAGGTAGAGGCTTACTCCACCCAGACAGAAGGCCCGAGAAGCAGCCAGACTACTCCTCTGAGAAATCGCTCCACGGTTTGGCCTACCGATTACCACTGGCTCGGATAACAGACCAGCCTTTGTAGCAGAAATAGTGCAGCTACTAGCCAGAAATTTAAATATTAAATGGAAATTGCCTACCGCCTATCGACCACAGAGTTCAGGACAGGTGGAACACATGAACAGGACCCTTAGGACTCAGCTGGGAAAACTATGTCAGGAGACATATCTACATTGGGACGAAGTCCTCCCCATGGCACTATTGAAAATCATGTCGGCCCCAACCAGGAAGACTGGGTTCTCCCCCTGCGAGATCCTGCATGGGCGGCCACCCCCCCTCATCGAAGGACAAGGAGACCTCAAGGAAATCAGTGCATTGACTGAGACAACAGCTTCGGCCCCTAGGGACCACCTTCCAGACTCTCAACCAACGGGTTAGGGAAAGGCTCCCTGTCAGTTTAACCGCTCAGGTTCACCCTTTAAACCAGGAGACTCTGTCTGGGTAACGGAGTGGAACATTCAGCCCCTAAAGCCCTGTGGAGAGGCCCCTTTACTGTCATTTGTCTACCCCCACTGCAGTTAAGGTCGCTGAAATAACACCCTGGATCCATCACAGCAGACTCAAACCCGCAGCTGCAGAGTGGGAGTGTGTTCCAGACTCTTCCGAGCCCCTCAAGGCCACCCTCCGGAAGAAAACACCAGCTGTGCCAACAGACCAAGAAGAAGACGTCAGCCCGCTTTGGTCACACCGGAAGTTGACCAGTCACGCGCAGCTGAAGCCTGAGGACGACGTCCCGTCAGGATGGCACCCCTGAAGACTTTTCCTTTTCCTGCTCCGCCACATGTGTGGTGCCAGTCTCCCCACTTCCTCTTCCCCTTGTACCCATTGCATGCGAAGGTCCAGGACAGGGTCCAGCACTGCCACCAGCTTCACTTCCGTGACCAGCCTACCTGAAGGCTGTGCCCTAAACGCCACGCTCTGCACTCACTGGGGATTCCAGTACTGTGTGGGGTACATAAAGGTTAGATCCGAGAGCGGCCATTCCTGCCAAGAGCCTGAAAACTTAGGAGAAACTTGGGCGTGTTGGTGATGGACCTCGAGCGGGGAAAAGGTCCATAAACACGCAGAGGGCCCAGCAGTCGGAGAAATTGTCCAATGGCTGCGTAGTCCAACCACAGCTAAGCCTGCACCGTCTCCTAGGCCCCATAGCCCACAAATGTAGGACCAGCTAAAGGCCGCCTTAGGCCAAAACTTAGACGCCCCCTTCACAGAGACTGTAGTAGGAAGAAAAACCAACGAAAGTTCCTCATGCTATGGAAGTACCAGCCCCTAAACCAAGAACTAGAAGAAGGAGATGATGCTCTCTGATCCGGTCCTGGGTGTGAGCATCAGAGGGGGCACGTGGCAGCCTGACCCTGCCTGACCATTTCCTGCTTGAGCAGTGAGGTCCTGATTGCTCCCGCCCGTCCCCCAAGGTTCTCTGTCTGGACACCTGCTTAAACAGATGAGCCAGTTTCCTTACAGCTTGGCAGCCAATCAGTGTTCTCCGTCCTTATACGGAACATCCGTCGCTGTGTGTGTTTGCGGAAGTCTGAGACTGCCTAGAACTGTCCGCCCTGTGACAGTCGGGGCTCAGCCTGTGGATGAGAATCCGCTGGGCCGGTGCCGGCATCAATAAACACTGCTTCCTGCCCACAGCCTCGGTGTCCCGTCTCTCTGTGTTCGAGAATCCCGCAACACCCCTTGTGCCCTCAAGGGGTGGGGGTCTGGGAAAGGGGATCGCTCTGATATTTCAAAGGCGTGTTATCTAAGGTGCAGAAAGACAATAGAAAGTCTTGCTTGAGGTAAAAATCGGCCTGTGTCGAGGAAACTATAGGCCTTGGCTGTGACTACCTCCACGACCTGCTTACGGTTGGGAATTTTTATGTTCACAGCATCCCGTGCGGTGACTGTCGGTCTCTGAGTCTGTAGGGCCCGCCATGCTGGCCTCCCCTGAGCTTGTCAGGTTTAGTTTGTGACCCCTTTTTAGTCCACACGGGAGATGACTAGGAGAGGAGGGAGCAGAAAGAGTCAGTTGGGGGCCGAGATTCCGAAGCAGCATGGATGGGGCCCCGAGAGGCAGGAGGCAGTGGATCCTAAACCAGTGGAGATGCCCAGGTCAGTCCAGTTCAGGAGCAGAGGGTAGGAAAGTCGGGACGCTCCCGAATGGGCGGGGACCAAAAGTTCTTCCCAGGGCGAGGCTGGGCCCCTGGGAGCGTTTCTTTCACAGAAGGCATTGGCCCTTCGGGAACCTCGCCCTGCCCCAGGCCCTCTCCAGCGGGGAAGGGCTTGTGCCTTTCTGTCCCCTTGCCTGCCGCCCCCGTGTGAGTGCCCACGGCTGCTTGGTGTGTGCGTTTAACTGTTAGGGCAGTGTGAGGAGTCAGCATCCACACAGTTAGGGTAAAACACAAATATGGGACTTAGAAGTCTGCCTATAATGTTTCGTTTTCTCCCCGAAGGGGGCGTCTGTAATATTTCAATAAAATCGGTGAGGAAAGTATTTAAAGTACAGATTTTCCACTTAGCTGCCAGGCTTGCCTAACAGGGAAAGTGATGTCAGATTTACCCACATTGCCAACCAAAACGAGGCCCTTGATCAGCATTTATCTGATAGCAACCCTTCCAGAAACCCGCAAACAATGTCGTTAAGGCAATATCCGGTGCTCCAGGTTCCCACCCGCCACAGAGACTCATCCTGTGGACCACAGAACAGTGTCTATATACACAAAGCCGCAAGCCCGTGTTCCTTGGGTTTGGCCACCAAAGTCAAGTAAGGTGACGAGTCAGGACAGGTGTCTGGGGTTTGCCCTGTGTTTGGTTCCACAGTCCCTGCGCCTTGCAATGTATATAGTTTCTCCACCTCGGAATAGGGACTGGGGCCACGTCGCTGTGGTAAACATCACCAGAATGACGGAGTAGGGTACCGTGTGGTCCCTGGCCCAGCCTGGGGATCACCTGTGTTGGGTCTTAGGAACCTGTGTAAGCCGGAAAAGGGAATTAAGCCATTTGCAGTCTGATTTCACGGAACTCACACGCAACACCCTTCATATGACACATAGGTTCACAGAAGAGTTTAAAATCAAGCCGCGCCCTGCGTCCCCATCCAAGCCGTGCATTACTGACCAGATGACCTCTCCTGACCACAGGTCCCTCGGCCAGGCAGCAGGGCATCGTCAGCAGCTGGAGAGCGGCCCGCTGGGAGCCCCAGGGACCGTCCGGCCTTGCTCCCGGCTCACCTGCAAGATGTGGGCAGCCCTGGTGCTCGTTTGCATTTCCTCCTTGTCCTTATCCGAATGCCG